CGCTGAGCTCCTGCCGCGGGGGCAGGACTCCACGGGGCACGCGGCCCTGAGGTGGGGCCTGCTGGGAGTCCTCCCCTAAAGGCCTGGGCATGACTGCGGGGGTCCTGGGGGGACGGGGCATCAGAGGAGGCTCTGTGTGTGTGTGAGAAGAATTCCGAGTGACTGTGCCAGGGCGAGTGCGTGTAACTTTACAAACACCTCGCGACTAACACCTCAGCCGAGGGACAAAAGCCGATGCTGCCAGGGAGTGGGCACCACGTCCCTCCTCATACGATGCAGTGAGAAGAACACAACCATGCTTCTGTGATGGTTCTGTCAAAATGCTTCAACTGGATTTAATCACAAATAACAAGCCCCAGCGTACAGACTTTCTACGAAATAGGTGGTCATCACTCTTCAGAAGTGGTGAGGTCATGAAAGAATCAGGAACTGAGTCCTGCTGCAGATCAGAGGGACTGAAGAAGGCAAGACGGGCAGGTGGGACGCGAGGTTCGGTCGGCGGCGGGGGGTGGGGGGCGGCCACACCTGGCAGCGTCCAATAAGACCTGAAGGCCAGGCACACTGTGTGCCAGTCTCACCCGTGTCGTTTTATCCTTGTCATGTGGTGATGCACGATGTTAAAGTGTGGGAAATCTGTGGAAAGGGTTATATAGAAAAATTATGTATGTGTTTGCAACTTTTTTTATAAATCGGAAATTGTTTCCAAGTGAAACCTTTAAGCTGTAAGCCTCTTAACAAAATATTAATTTTTATTCTCCTTTCATATAAGTACAGAAGGATATAAATGTTTCCCAAACTGCCACCCTTCACTACATCCCGAACGTTCTGGGGAGGGATGTTCTCCTCGCTCACCCATTCTGGGTATCTAAAAAATAATCTAAGAGGTCTTCTTGAAAACAGTGCCCACTTGAAATGTGTTTCTTTTCCATTTCTACGTGTGGACTTTTTCACGTGTATCTTTTTTGTTATTGCATCAGTGAACATAGTCCTGAGACACGAGATGAAGATTTTTGACGAGTGATAAGATCTGTACACTTTGGACAAACCCAAAGCACTGGAAGGTCTTGTTCAATTTCAGTTCCAACACCTGAGTGCCAGGGGCTGGATGTTTCATTGCTGCCACAGAGGGGGGG